GCCTGAAAAAAGTCCCCAGCACACTACCTGTGCAAGCAGGTGGTCACGTTGGTTATGTTGATGGAAATTAGCCTATTTTCAGGCGCTGCGTAATATCATTGCGCCTGCTGCACCCATGGTATGAGATGCTAACGGTCTAATCAGATTCAATGATCTATGCTAAGCTACAGCTAAAAGTGCTACCGCCAGACCCGGAGATCGGCTGAATGGATTCGAAAATGGTAAAACTCAACTGTTTAACTCAAGGGGAGTTGGAAAATTAGCCTATTTTCAAAAATAGTGGAGAGTTCCTTTAATTGTTACTAATAATCATGTTCGTCATGTTGGCTACATGAACCGACATGACTGCGAAAACACAAGCCTCATTGGCCCAGTAAAATCCTGCCCATTTCCATTTCCATGCCACACACACACACACACACACACACTATCTGTTGTACAGCCATTACATCATCACAGAGGGCACATGGGCAGCCTTGTTTAAAGCACCACAGAGGTTTGTAGCACTGCATTGTTCGGTTCATTTTTCACTCCGCTGCTCTTGTCCAATCTAATCAAAATTACTATTCAAAGCGTCGGGGAAGAGAAGAAAAACCCTTTGTGGATTCAAGAGACAGTGAGAAAAACACACCAAGAAATGAACCAATTTGCGAGTTAATTTTTCCATGCATGGTACCAAAAAGAGACTCATTCAGTTTTTGTGCGATGGTGAGAACATGGTGTGCCAAGCGTAACGCACAGCAAGTCAGGAGGTGTTTTCTTCTGTCCTTCACTTAAACCTGACGTCTCACCCTCCCTTTACACTCAACAAACTGCTGAAGTGACTCAGATGAGATTCTTCCTGCTGCGCTCAGCAACATGCCCTGATGAAACCAGGCGTTTTCAACCTCCATCCTCGCTCTCACACACAGATCCATGGAAAAGTGGACGTACGCCAACAGGCAAACACATCCGAACATGACAACCACACCTCGCAATCCCACAGGACGCCATATTACCATTTTTTCCCCAAAGATGTTTTGAGTCAAAACAAATCAAAGTAATTAGACTTCAGATGTCAAGTAAAACCTGGCTACACGTGATCTAAACTCAATGAGGCAGGTATCAAGTAAATTCTGCGGTATTTTGGAGCGACAGATGTGAATTTGTCACTAAAATTAAACCCTATTGTGGTAAAAAAAGCATCAAACTGATGTTGCGCTTCAATTTGAATAGCAAACAAAGCGCTTTTCGTGTCATATGGGAGCCGAGGCGAACTTCATCGTCATCAAGCTGAAGAAAATATGACTCAGAGTTTTAAAAGAGGGCAAGGCCGTTGCAAATCACAAGGGAGAAGGTTTAGAAATAGTGCAATTTCAGGCCCAGTTGGAGACGTATAGAGTTGCATGGAAATCAATAGGCATTTTAAAGCCTCTTTTGAAAAATGCAGAGCATTTTGGTTAAATTAATGGATAGAATGCATATCTCAAGGTGTTTCTAGTTCTTTTGCACTGTTAAATCAGAATGGAAATCCTCAGTGCCTTTATAACACACAGTAATGGATTCTTTCAAGCTTCCCTTCCCTTTGAAGTGACCTCACACAATTTTGCTATTGAAACCCAGCCGTCACGACCCCAAGGCCGAAAAGTCATCCGAATTCCTTCTGAGCAGACTCTGGCACTTTGTAGGCAGGTGAGGGAAGGTAAAGCCTTCCGGGCTTAAAATACAAAGAACTCACAGTGACAGAAAACAGTCAAGATCCAGGAACGACCTGCTCGTCAAACTACAGGGCATGTAGCGACAGGTACGTGCAATCCGCAGACATAAGCTTTGGTCCAAAAAGCACTCAAGTTCAGCAAACACACCTACATTCCGGCTGTCAGTCAACTTTCGCAAAGAAAGGTCAGTCGGGGAGTTTGGGAAGGAGAATTTCCTTAGTAACCAGTGAAAATAAACTCGAGCAGATGCCAAGGGTGTAAACGGCTCTTAATTTGTTATCTCCATTTGACGAATGACTAATGCTACTGCCTAAAAACAAGCCCTGTAAGTCATTTGCGGAAGCTTGTTGTGCTAAAACGAGCTTTTCAAGAGAAGGTAATGCGAGTAGATTGTTACAATCAACACAAGTCCATTGATTGGATGACGGCCAATTTCGTTTTTTTTTTTTCCTTAAATAATTTTTTTTTGTTGCTATTTTTGCCTTTATTATGATAGGACAGATCAGAGCTGACAGGAAGCGAAGTGGGAGAGAAAGAGGGCGGTGGGATCGGGAAAGTTCCTCGAGTCAGGATTCGAACTTGGGACGCCCGTAGCTCTACAGCTGTATGTCGGCACGCTGCCCACAAGGCTATCGGCGCCGACATGATGGTCAACTTCTCATTGGATCACTTTAAAGGGTTAGTTCACCCAAAAATGAAATTTCTGTCATTAATTACTCACCCTCATGTCGTTTCAAACCCGTAAGACCTTCGTTCATCTTCGGAACACATATTAAGATATTTTTGATGGAATCTGAGAGCTGTCTGACCCTGCATAGAGAGCAATACAACTGAAATGTTCCCAAGTCCAGAAATGTAGCAAGCAGATCTGTAAAATAATCCATGTGACATCAGGGGTACAACCGTAAATTTACAAAGCTACGAGAATACGTTTTGTGCGCAAAAGAAAAAAAAAACTACTTTAGACTTTATTTTTGGGTGAACTAACCCTTTAAAGTGGCAGTGCCACTGATTCAAATACTGTCTGTTAAAGTAAAACATAACATGAAATAAATATAACATAACAAAAACTTAAGAATAATCATATCTAATACTGCATCTGAACTGATCTAATCATTTAAGTGAACGCAAACTATTATGTGGCAAAAAGGTCAAGTTACAAAAAGACGACACAATCTAGTTTATTATAAAATTAATCTCAGCATATTAATATTAAATGCAAACTAAAGGATTGAATTAGTTTTTGTTCACTTAATATGTGTGTGTATACTGTGTATATTTATTATGTATATATAAATACAAACACATGCAAAATATAATATAAAATATAAGAATATAAATATATAAATGTATATACATGTAAATATTTTCAAAATACATACATAATAAATATACACAGTACACATACACATATTTTGTAAATAAAAACTTTTATTTTGGATGCGATTAACCGCGATTAATCATTTGATAGCACTAGATTGAAAGATCTGCTTTTATTCTGAGAATGAAAGAGATGCACAACCTAAACAAAATTTTTAAAGTTTCATGAAAGACTAAAACATGTTTTTGAGATGTTAACAGACAAGTGATTTTAGATTTATGGATATTTATGGATAATCTCAGTATCACTGACTCCATTCATCTTTAATGTGAATGTGTTAATAAATCAGCCCAATAAATAAATTTTTAAAGTATCATGAAAGACTAAAACATGTTTTTGAGATGTTAACAGACAAGTGATTTTAGATTTATGGATATTTATGGATAATCTCAGTATCACTGACTCACTCCATTCATCTTTAATGTGAATGTGTTAATAAATCAGCCCAATAAAATATATGGATCAACAAATCTCAATAACACTCTCAAAACATATTACAAATGCAAGAGTGCAATCAAACATATTTTTTGTGTATATTTTTAGATATAAAAGAAAGACAGACAGGCAGACAGATAGACAGATAGATAGATAAACAGACGCAGCTTTCCATTCCTTAATTTTTTAACACTGTGGTGAGACTTGTGCTGAAATGTGGGTTTCCACTACATAATAAGTGCTCAAAACATCTCAAGGTGTGCTGCCAATAACATCATCTTCAATCCTGAAACATGTCCTCCTAATTCAAACATAAGGACAGCTCTATTCCAATAGCAGATGTGCTAGCATCTCTTCGCTGACATTTCAGTCATCTTGTGTTTGCAGACGGTTCATTCAAATTATATATTGCAACCCAGCATCTTCAACAGCTATTTCGCGCTGCGCTTGCAAGCCAGACTTCATTGATTAAAGCCAAAAACATCATAAAAACAACCCATATAATTTGTGCTAACCTTATATAATGCTGCACACATACTTCTTACAAACATTTACATCTGATGAAAATGCCACAGGCAAAACGAATCAATTTTTTATAAGGATTACAAGGGAGCTGAGGTGACTTAAGGTTAAGAGCCTAGGCCTGTATACATCTTGTCTCACTCTACGTAACCTAATCCCTTTTAAAAATCACAGCGTAAAGCTCTGAAACGGCACTATTTGTCTTCACTACCTCTGAGACGACGCACAAGCTGCAGGCAAAATATTGAACAGACAAGGAACGAAAACGTGTTTAAAATATCATGAGCTTGTTGACTGCATGCCGGGTCACGATTTAACCTTCAGAGCTGTGAAAGCAACTCCAATCCCATGAAAACAGGATTGTTACGTATACATTTTTCCAAAAGGAAGAGAATTCCAAAGTAGAAGGTTCTGATAATAGAAGAGAGTCATTAAATTATTCCCTCTCTTTATTCGTCTACATCATCCATCCTTGACTCACTCCTGCAGTCTATTTGATTACCTTGAAAGCGTTAATGATTAAACCAGATTTGATGGACTCTTTTTTGCTTCCTAATTCAATTGCAGTGCAGACTTACACTAGAAGAAAACTCCTCTTGGAGCCAATTAACAGCTCAAGCACACACACACTCCAACAGAGCCAAAGCACTCGGAGTGAATAATGCATTTAACCTCTTATTATGCCTGTTGGTGCTGCCCAAGCCAGACCTTCAATATCGTTTTAATATTTAATCAATTTGCCCTGCTCTCCAAGGCTACATCCTGGCACTCAGAGTCTGTTCTCTTCAGACAAAAAGCAGCACCTTTTCCTGCGTCAGACTAGGATGTGGAATGAAATTATGCATTTTACACAACTTACCTTGACCTCTGCGCAAACCAATGCCAGTTAGAGTCTCTATAGCAACAGAATCTGGCTTTTTATTTCTCACAGGGGGGTGGCTGCCAACTGCTTGGCTTTCAGTGCACAGCTCAGATTTGTTGCTGGACAACGGGTCTTTTCTCTTAAAACGACTAGCTATTAGCTGCCAAAAACTAGTCTCTGGTTGTAATTGTTTGGTGGGCTTTGTTAGTTTGGCAGGACGGAGAGGGACTTCCAAGACTGCCACTTTGCCCCGAGTTTGGTACTGTATGTACTGCGTGGCCCCTTGATCCTCATCTTGCTCACGAGCTGGCGTTAGCATCCTGCCGGTGAGGTAGGAAAACGGGCGAGTGGTTTGCATAGATTGTTCTCCGATACTTGAAGTGCGTCTCCGTTCAGTTCGGTTCTCCTGCTCGGGTTGATTCCGATTCCGTCTCATCCTTAGACTCAAGCTCCTCCGGAGTGATCCAAATGTTGTCTTCGGTTCTTCAGTCTTGTTGGGTTCCTTTAGCTTTGTTTGTTTCACCACCACTTCCTTTCCAGTTGCCTGATGACCAAACCATCTCCATCGGAAGCCTGGACGAGGCAAACTACCGGTGCCAGTGGAAGCGTAGCTTGCGAGCTCATCTCGGGATCCACTACGCTCTTTATTGAGCTCAAGAACAGTCATGCTAACGGGCCGTGGTTTGTTCTTGCTTTTCAAAGTCCGACGTATTGGTGGTTCTTCTAGTGGATGAGGAAACAGGTTAACAGAAGGCGGCATATCAGGTTTTAGACCGTCTATCGCACGAAGCTCTGCATGTCTTATCCTACACCGCTGGACCATATCCGGGCAACCTTGCTTACTTGGGGTCGAGGTAGGCAGAAGATTGTTGCTTGATTTGGTAGCTGCCAACATACAATCACTGCGAGGTCTTGTAGAGTTGTCTTGGTGGTTGGTCGCTGTGGTTTGGTGTCTCCTGTTGTCGTCCGGGAAGACGAACATGCTCAGCGCTCTTCTGCTGCCCAGGAGCCGAAGCCCATGTGCAGGCCTTCGCAAGACCACCACATGAGGTTCTGTTGCATTTTCCACAAAAACAGCATTACAATTTAGTTCCTTTATGGGAATGTGGCAAACATCAGCACGGAGTTCTTCGATCCATGCTTTGTCTTCCCTAGCCAAGTTGAAGTCTTCCGCAGACGCTTGTTGCACACAGCTGTCCTGGAGCAAAGGTGGTAACCGGTCCGTCCTCATTCCTAGTACTTCCCCTTTCCTCCACCCCCCATTCCCTGTGCTGCTCAGGTAAAGCCACCTGTTGGCCTTTCTAATTGCACTCCTCCTCTGCCCTGGGCTTTCTCGACGTTCCTCCCTCTGATTCGCCTCTCGTCTTTTGTTGTCGTCCTCCTCTTCTCCCACGTTGTTCTTTACAACTCCCAGCTCAGCCTCTCCTCTCCTCTCAGCCCCTCCTAAAGGGTTCAGAGTCTGTACCTCCTCCTGGAGTCTCATTCTGGAAAGCACCAACTTCGTATAGAGTTTTACCAACTTGGTCTTGGAGAAGAGACGTGATCCTACCTTCAAAAATCACATCATGGACACTCCTCCACAAGCTTGTTTTCTGCAACTTAAGCACTCTCTCTAACACAGTTGCTCTCGGAGTCTTTCACTTCCAGGCCACATTCCAAAGGCAAGCATAATCCCTCGCTTTTGACTTGCGAGAGACGGTGACAGAGTTGGGGGAAAAAAAACTTAAAACAAGCCCCAGCAAGACCTCACTGCAACTTTTACCTTGCAGGGGATTATGGGGGGGGGGGAATTAGCACTCTAAGAAAACACAAACCTGTGCGCATTGGAGCGATAAATGCAGCCACAGATTAAGAAGTCTTTGGTCTTCTACTACTGTCAGACACAGGTCTGTGCAACCCGGCAGTCAGCAGTGTAGGCAAATTCCTTAATGTTCCGGTTCTTGGCATAAGCAAGAGGGGTCTGTTTGAACTTCAAGCTGTTCCCACATGTCCCAAGGGTAACAGCAAAACAAGGAGCAGAACCCTTTGTCTCCTTAAAGCGGAGCCACTGCCAAGGCACCTGTAGAGAAATCCCTGTGGGAGTTACTGCTGTGACTGAAGATTAAAACGGAGGGTGCCTGATGCTTGGGGCGGTCAGTATCTTCAGCACGGTTACCAACATTTGCACCATCCTAAAAGGCATCCAAATTAAAGGGAATTTTGTAGAGCTTCCCTTTCCCAGAGCCTGCCTCTGTCATTTTCTCTCTGGCTCTGTTTTTCCTACCCTCCCTTCCTAAACTGCCCTCCCTCGCAATTGCATTTCCTCATCAAAATGAACAAGGCAGAAATTGGCAAACAAAACTGGGGAGCTCATTTCATGAGGGCAGGATGAAATGCCAAACAATTCCCCAGTTTTCTCATGCAAGTTTTGTCTATGCTAAAATAAGTTCATTCAAAAAGTTTTACCATCATCAATGCAAACTCTAGGAGGGGGGAATAGCTGAGTCTATAAGCATCATAAGAAAGAAAGATCATGTGCAATGAAAATTATTTCTCTAGAGCCAATGCCATTAAATGTGCATGAAGAAGCTGTCTCCACTATGAAAATACAAAGAGAAGAGTTCAAAGCATCTACCCCATAACCAATAGTTTAGCTTCACTATTAAGATGGCTTGCTTGGATTCAGCACAACATGAATATCTGTTTCTAATATGGAGAATCTGACTGGCCTAAAAGCCATCTGGATTATGAAAACAAGATAGCAGATTTTGTGCTTGTAAAGAGCACCCACAAGTGGTTCCAATGAAAACTACCCCACCTGTCCAGTAATACTACACCGCTATAGAGAAAAACTATTAGACTGATCCAGATTTCTGCGGTGCAATGGAATTACCCCATAACCAATAGTTTAGCTTCGCTATTAAGATGGCTTGCTTGGATTCAGCACAACATGAATATCTGTTTCTAATATGGAGAATCTGACTGGCCTAAAAGCCATCTGGATTATGAAAACAAGAGAGCAGATTTTGTGCTTGTAAAGAGCACCCACAAGTGGTTCCAATGAAAACTACCCCACCTGTCCAGTAATACTACACCGCTATAGAGAAAAACTATTAGACTGATCCAGATTTCTGCGGTGCAATGGAATTTATGTGAGGAAATATTTCAGGTAGACTATGGTAACAAAAATGCTAAATCAAAGGCAGCCATTTTGTCTAAGAATGGCATATGTTTTACTTAATTTGTGTCAATATTAGCCACAACTTTAATCAAACAAACGGCAGCATTCTTTGCCTTTTCCTTTCTTTCGCTCATCATTCTTTCCCACTTTTGTTTCCTTCGTTCTTTGCATTTTTATTACTTTCCTTCCGTACTGTCTTTGTTTGTCTGCATCTTTCCTTTATTCCATTCTTTTTTTATTTTGTTCTCTTTCCTACTCTTCCTGTTTTCTTCTTTCCAATACCCTCCTTATTTTCCTCTTTAAATTTTATTCGTTCCATCCATCTCTTTCCCTTTTTATTTGCTTTCCTTATTTATTTCTCTTATTTATTTATTTTCCTCTCCTTGCTTCATAATTTCACTCTTTCCTTATTTCTTTCCTGTCACAACTCACTTGACAATGTTTAAACAAAGATTTCTGCGGTGCAATGGAATTTATGTGAGGAAATATTTCAGGTAGACTATGGTAACAAAAATGCTAAATCAAAGGCAGCCATTTTGTCTAAGAATGGCATATGTTTTACTTAATTTGTGTCAATATTAGCCACAACTTTAATCAAACAAACGGCAGCATTCTTTGCCTTTTCCTTTCTTTCGCTCATCATTCTTTCCCACTTTTGTTTCCTTTGTTCTTTGCATTTTTATTACTTTCCTTCCGTACTGTCTTTGTTTGTCCGCATCTTTCCTTTATTCCATTATTTTTTTATTTTGTTCTCTTTCCTACTCTTCCTGTTTTCTTCTTTCCAATACCCTCCTTATTTTCCTCTTTAAATTTTATTCGTTCCATCCATCTCTTTCCCTTTTTATTTGCTTTCCTTATTTATTTCTCTTATTTATTTATTTTCCTCTCCTTGCTTCATAATTTCACTCTTTCCTTATTTCTTTCCTGTCACTCTTTCTTTTCTTTTTTTCTTCCAGACAATCTGCTTTAATCCAGCAATCCTTCATAAACTTGTGTCTGACATCTGACAAGTATAAGTCTGAGAACACAACAGAAGCCACTGAGCACTGATCCTAGACCAGTCTTTCCTTTTTCCAGTCGTTTCTATAAGTAAAAGATTTCTGTAAGTTTCTTGGCCATAAGCCATTGGGATCTTGAGCTTACACCCACTCAAGATTAAGATCTTGGATCAATTTCCAATTTACCTAATAAATTCAATTACATGCACATATTTAAGAACACAATTGCTTACGGTTTAACTTTAAAGCCATATTGAGCCAACCAAACATATCCATTTCTAAATTTAGCTCCGATATGCTCTTGTTAAAACCTCAACTAAAAAGATACCCCATGCTATAATTATTTAAAACACTACGCACCAGTCAAAACATCATACGTATGTCCCTGATGACTCACTGTTCATTCGCTACAAAAATAATCACATGTAACTAAGTTTATCATACCTGAAATGCCTTCAATTTTACAGCCCCCACAGCACTTAAAATATATCTAACAAAGCAACAAGTACAAATGTCTACAGTATACTATTTTTCTAAATCGACAACACCAAGAAATGGATATTTTACATTTACAATTTTTCCTTGTCAATGCCCTCCAAATGAAAATACATCAGACCACAGATTACCTAAATTCTCGTATTTAATTTAAGAGTTCAGGCATTTATTTACCAAATGATAGCGCTAACAAGCACTACAAAAGCCAAATAAATTGACCACGAGTCAGTACCTGTGTTGATCAGACAGGAGTTAACACCTGTACGCATGAAACAGAAGGATTCATTACCTGTGTCTACCGCATAAGGGTTCGTCACCCTCGTAACCTCCACTGAGATCAAACAGTCCTCTTCGCCCCATTGCAGATGGTGGTGTCTCGGCCTTCTTCTCCCTCCAAAACACATCATTATGATGACTTCCCCAAACTACAGGAATATCCTTTAACCAGGGACATTATCGGGTCAAAACCAAACTAAAAACCAAGTTCAGGGTCCAAATCGTGGATGTTCTTTAAGTGAGACGGCGATATCCTAGTACGGCTTTGACATACGGACTAATATCATGCTTAGTTCAAGTGCTTGGCTTTGTCAAACATCAAAAATGTGAGAGGGAGGAGGTAGCAGACAGGTACAAGAAACATGTCCAACCTCTGTAATCCCTCATGAGGAGGCGGCGGCGACCACGGCCTCCCTGGTTTATACCTGAAGCAGGATTAGTCTAATCCTTAACCAATAGGAAGTCACTGGTGCATTATCCGTCCCTCCGTACCGATGCAACACACACACACAGACACAGAAACGCTATCGTACTGGACTCCGTTTTAGAGTAAAGCATGCTTACCACTACCAAAACAAGTTTAACTCATCGTGGTATCTGTGCAATGCTCTGACGCAAGACGCCCCACTGATATTTCAAGTCCAACCACAAGGCTGTCTGTGATGAAACATTCCACTTGTCCTAAAAGTCAGATCGAGCAAACATCATAGTTAAAAAGCAGTGCTACAAAATGCAAAATCTCAAGTGTGTCAAAAACAATAAACTACAGATCATATCTAGGTATCAAAACCGCCCACTTCATGAACTATAACCAATGTTCAACAAGTTGACTCATTACAGAAACGCACAAGAACATTTTCGGCCGAAACTACACACAAACTATTCCCATCTAATGAAATGCATTTAATTGACGAGCTCCCATAGAAATGAGAGACCATATCGACTCGACATCTCATTACGTTTTCATTAAAAACCACCGTGTCATCGGCGGTAGCGTCTGCGAAGCTAAATGGATACAAATACTGATGGATGAGAGAAAAAACACATTTTGCCCATGCGAGGTGGTGGTTTGAACACAGCGCATTATATATAGCTTTCATTTATACCAATTTAATTATGCAGACCATCAGAAAGTGTGTTTCCGAATGTTTTTTCCACCCTCAGGGCGCACCTTTATTACAGCGAACCCTTTGGAAATTGGCCTGCCAGTCTAATTAAAATAGAAAAACTGATTACGGTCAGACAATTAGGCCGCTCTTCTCTTTTATTTTAAACACTTTTAGTACCACAAGAAAGTGACGCAAGCAGCATGCCACTCTCTCTTGTCTTTCTTACTAGAATGCTCTGTAAAAACTCGCAGTTTAAAAGCAGTAATGTTGTGAAATATTATTACAATTTAAAATAACCATTTCTATTTGAGTAGACTATAAAATGTAATTTATTTCTGTGATGCAAAGCTGAATTTTCAGCATCATTACTCCAGTCTTCAGGGTCACATGATCCTTCAGAAATCATTCTAATATGCTGATTTGTTGCTTAAGAAACATTTCTAATTCAGTTGTGCTGCTTAATACTTTTTGTGGAA